GAGGCCGCCTCCCTCTTCCTCTCGGGCTCAGATTTATGAATGGGCCTGGCGGCGAGCGCCGAGCGCCCTTGTTTACTCCGCCCTTTGTGACGTCGCGTTCCCGTGCCCGGCGCCAGCGGCCGGCGCTCCATTCACGCGCCGGGGAGGGGCGGGGGGAGGGCGCCAGGCCCAGAATGGGAGGAGGCGGAGCCTCGCGGGCGAGTAATGCGTCCCCCCTCCCCCGGGAGAGCGGGCAGCGTTAATGAATCTATAAGCCGAGGAGGAAACTCTGGCTGGGGCAGTGCGCGGAGCTCCGGCGGTGCGTGGGGAACGCCGGCGCCGGCGGCGGCAGGAGCGGCTCAACCCGCAGCGCACACGGGAGGCAACACCAGAGGGGACACACCGCCGTCCACCGCCACCTTTCCCTCCGCGCCGCGCGCCGTCCTGCTCGGCCCCCGAGAGCGCTGCGACTGCGATGTGAGCGCGAGGCTGCGGGAGGCCGGGCACTGGGAGAGCGTCCGGGGACCAAGTTTTCGGCCACTTGTGCAGGCGCCCCCTCCTAGCCCTCGCCAGTCCCTTCCCGCAGCCTGCCTGGCCCGGGTGCCCTTGGCTTCCTCGCGCGCCTAGCGGCCTCGTTTCCCGGCGACCATGGTGACGATGGACGAGCTGCGGGAGATGGACTGCAGTGTGCTCAAACGGCTGATGAACCGGGACGAGAACGGCGGCGGCGCGGGCGGCAGCGGCAGCCACGGCGCCCTGGGGCTGCTGAGCGGCGGCAAGTGCCTGCTGCTGGACTGCAGACCGTTCCTGGCGCACAGCGCGGGCTACATCCGAGGCTCGGTTAACGTGCGCTGCAACACCATCGTGCGGCGGCGGGCCAAGGGCTCCGTGAGCCTGGAGCAGATCCTGCCCGCCGAGGAGGAGGTGCGCGCCCGCCTGCGCTCCGGCCTCTACTCGGCCGTCATCGTCTACGACGAGCGCAGCCCGCGCGCCGAGAGCCTCCGCGAGGACAGCACCGTGTCGCTGGTCGTGCAGGCGCTGCGCCGCAACGCCGAGCGCACGGACATCTGCCTGCTCAAAGGTAAAGGCGGGCGCCGGGGCGCGAGGTGGCGGGTCGGTGCAGGGGCGCTTAGCCGCTTGCGCCTCGCCGGACGTGGGGAGGCGTGCCCGGGGTGACTCGTGACTGCGCGGGTCCTCGCATGCTCCTTTGTGCGTGTCGGTGTGCGCGGGTGTGTAAGGGTTTTGTGCGTTTCTGTGCGAGTGCGAGCTCCAAGTCCTCGGGGACGGCGCGGGCGCGTCTTCCCGGTCACCTACAATTCCGCCCCCGTTCTGGCGACGCCGCGTTTCTTTACACTCGATAAAACGGTTCTTCAGTCCCGGGAAGTGCGCCCAGGACGAGGACGAGACAGGCCTGTTGGTTTGGCCTTCCGGGGCCCTACGCCGAGTCCATCCTCGAGAACTCGAGAGGTGGGGAAGGGAGTGAAGGAGGATGAGCTCGGAGGTGGGATCGGCCCCGCCGCTTCGACTGGAGACCGGCCCTTGGTGAACGCAGCAACGGGGACTGGGCTGCAGACAGTGTGAGGAGCGCTCTGTGCCTCGTCCCCCGCTGCCCAGCTCCGAGCTCCGCCTGGAAGGTGGCTGACGCCCCCGCCGGGGTCTAGACCCGGGCTCCGGGAGCGGGAGGCTGGGGAACGCCGGGCGGAACGGTGCCTCCACCCCTTGCAGAGCCGGGCGGCGACGAATTACGACCTTTTGTTCAGACACAATTCTCCACTATCTGTGGGCGACGCGTGCCTGATTGAAGTGAACCCTGGCGAAGCTCTCGGTGGCGGTGGGGGACAGTGAGGGGGTGTCTCGTCCAGTTTGGCAGCCCGAAGCCTCGCCAGGACCGCGTGCTATCCCGAGCCACTGGAGAGGCCGTGCGCCCGCCCGCGGCACCTGCTGGGCCGGGTCTGCCCGCCGCCCTGGGACTGGGGAGCGGGCAGGGCGTGTGGGCTGGGGGCGCCCCCTGCCGCGCTGCGCCCCTTCCCCGCCGCCGCATTCCGCGCATTCTTTCGTCCGGGTCGGCTCTTGGCTTCCGAGCCGGAGAGGCGGTTCAGACCCCCGCCACCAAAGAGCCACCCCC